CTGGGATAACCGGTGTGTGTCATCATACCCCAGCTACATGTCAACCATTTTATAATGTCAGGTACTTTTGGTGAATCTTTGGGCCTTAGCCTGTTGCTACATTCTTTTTGCTGGAAAATGAGTTCCCTTGTCAGAAGCTGTGTTAAGCTTTTCAAGAAATAATCAATGGTTGTGACATATGACTGAGAGGTTCTACCAAATAGACTCAGATATGCTGCATTGGCATTAGCAGCCGGAATGTCATTAGGAAGTGTTTCAGAATCCATTTGTGGGTGCAGAAGCTGACTGCCATAGTAAAGGAATTGATGGATACTGAGAATACAAATACTTGTATTTCTCAAGTCACTGGATAAAGAAGTACCTCTTTTCCAACCACCCAAGCAACCAGGGGATAATATAGATGGAGTGGTCTGGAAAGTACTTTTAAAATTATTTCCATCTAAGTGGAAAGAGCCCTGACTGCACTAATGGCTGACAGAGAGGAAAAGGTTGACAATTTAGACAGAAAGGGCATTGCTGATGGAGTGAGGTCCCTGAGGAGACCCAAAGGGCTGACATCCAGAACTCTTGTGTCATGAAACTTGGCATCCACAGGAATTATTCTAGAGCCTTCACAAAATAATGATTTGTAATGGAGCTTGGAATCTGTTTACTTTTTCTCATACATATAAAATTTCCCAAACAAGTACCAAATGGTAGCTTTGAAAAATTGTTGATGTAGATCAAAAGAAATTGGTAATTTGGAGACATATGATCAGAAGTAAATGGAGCAAAGCTTATGAGGGTCAATTACAGGGATGCTGTATTACAGGGGGGAAAAATACCAGGCAGGGACTGGCTAAGATCTAAGAGTTACCACAGAGAAGTTGGATATGAGTCAGCAAATAGAAGTGTGGTTTAAAAAGTCAGCACCATTCTGGAGAACCGAAAATTTTAAATGAACATTTTACATTTCAACACCTAACATGATGTTGTATGCATTGAGAATGTTTGCTGATTAGATTTAATTTGATTCATTGCTACAGATTTGTCTTACAAGGCCACAATCTTACAAGCTTCTTTTGGCAGCAGTGTGGTGGTTTATGCAGAAATATTGACATTCTCTTGCTTGATTCCTCAGGCCATGGCTCAGTCCTTCAGGGTGAAGGTTATTTGTGCAGTGGTGATAGGAGAGAGGTATTTCCCCTTATGAGACTCGATCCACTTGTAATTGAATAAAATTTTGTATTCAGGCCTTATTGAAGAGCTAACACTAATCAACTGAGACTAATCTCATCTACCAAACAAAAACTTGTCATGTGAGGAGTAAAGAACCACTAAGTAATCTTCCACAACCATGGAGTTATTTAGCAATCTTGCGAGTAAAAGTGTAGCAGCTACTATTAAAGAGAGCCAGGAAAAATGTTTAATAGATGAATTCAAGATGAGCAGAGAACTGGAAAAATAAGATCTGTGAGTTACTGAATTTGAGAATGGAGAAGACCCCAAGGCAGATGTTAATAAGCTCTTCAAGTATTTACAAAGAAATGCAACCACTCTAAAAAAGATTGAAAAGGACACTGACTTTTGTCCTTAAACTTTTTTTTTTGTTTTCTTCAATAGCCATTTCTTTCTTTTTAATTTTTTTCTCAATATTTTATTGTGAAAAATATCAAACATTCAGAAATATTGAAAAACAGTACAATGTGTACCTGTACATCTTCACTTTAGACTCAACAGGTTTTGACATTTTTATATATTATCTTTTATCTATCTATCTATCTTTTATCTATCCATCTATCTATTGATTGATGGGTTGATCATCTCTTTATCTGCTTACCTATCTTTGCTGAATCATTAAAAAGCAAGTTATAGGGGGCCTGGTGTTGTGGCTCAGTGGTAGAGTGCTCGCCTAGCATGTACAAGGCACTGGGTTTGATCCTCAGCCACATAAATGTAAAATAAAGATGTTGTATCCACCTAAAACTTAAGAATAAATATTAAAAAAAGTAAGTTATAGACTTCATGTTTTTTATTCCTAAATACTTCAATGATGGGGTGTTTCTAAAAAATTAAGGTATTCTACACATTGTTGGGATGGTCAACAGCATAGAAACTCCTTTTGACTTAAATGATATTTCTTGCAGTTATTTAGAGAAGTGGAAGAAATGAAAGCTGTTCCATTTTTCTTTTACTGCATGACAAACCATTAAAAAACAATAACCCACAAAAGGTATTTCATTTTTATGGGGTCAGAATTCTGTGAGGTCAGATTCAGGCTTGTTTGGTGATTATTCTGCCTTATGTGTTAGTGATTGAGTATACCAAGTGTGGTATTTAGTTTGTAATGTAGTTCAAGAAAGCTTCATTTGTGTGTGTGTGTGTGTGTGTGTGATGGCAATCACAGAGTCCTACCAGATTTAAAGAAGAGGGGATGTCAATTCCCAGCTCTTTATCCTCAAAGTGGCAAATAATTTGTAGCCATCTTTAATCTGTCATGAAAGCACAGGATATCACATACGTGAAAAGACTATATGCCAAAGGAGCACAATGCAGACCACTATTTATGTGCCAGATACTTTGTTAGAATAGCTGGTTACTTTTTGTCTACAGCTGGATAAGTTTCCAAGAATCTCCTCACTCCCATAATTTGGCTGAAGGTGGACCTGGAATCTTCACTTTTAGTTCTGTGACTTGCTTCCAATAAAAATTCATCTCTGTCATCCCTGATCTGGTGGTGTCAGGAGATGTAGTGTGTTACTCACACGTTATTTAAATCTCCACATAACTCTGTTTCTGGGAAGTCCATCCTAGACCAGACAGGAATAGACAGCTTTCTCTTCATTTGCTGGAGAGATTTATACCATGTGTCTTTAAATCTTTTCCAAAGCTCAGCACAAAGGGAATTGTTATATGTGGAAAGTCAGAAGATAGTCTCCAGTGAATTGCACTTTTGTAAAATAAGATTTGGGGTGGGGAGGGAAGGAGAGGTACTTTTTAGGTCACAACATTATACCTTATAGTATATTAAAGTTCAATTTCTTAGTTGTTAAAAGAGATAGCTCAAATGCTGGGTGCCCCAATCCTTTTTAGCAAGATAGTTACGGGTTTCAGTGACATTGGAGGGTAGTAAGTAGCAGCCGAAGTTAATTATATCTTAGGTTAATTGTATGTGTTAATTACAGTTAATTATATTACACTATATTACACTTCAAAACTTTAGTGTTGGTCTTGATTCCTAATAGGGCTTGCCATGCATAACATTTCTAATAAATCTTTTTGTTTTGATGTGAATAATTAGAAAGCTTATAAAGAATGAAGCATCCAACCACTTCCCTTTTAAAGTCAAAGTTCAATTACTCACAAAAGCTGAAGCACTGGATGCATTTATTTTCCTTTGTTTCAAACTATGCAACACAGAAATAAATGGTCCTTAACTAAAAGCAGCAGTACATTAGGCAAACCATGTTTCTTTATAAGTGTACCTAAATATTACTGTTTCTAAAATGATATTGTGGTTTTACTAAAGCCAGGAAAATGATAGAAATTTTTATTTTAACTTAAAACTGGCTTTAGTACTAACCTGAGGAAATCACATTAGCTAATTTGCTTATAAACTAATCAATAGCCCTTAAACTCCATTATAGAAATGATACATTTCCCCTTTGTATTAAGACACCAATGGCTTCCCTTTCCAACAAAGTTGGATCTTCTGTCTTGAGGGCACTGGAGCCACTGAGAGGCTGAGTAATTCTAAGAAAGGGAAAAAAGAAGATGCTCCTGGAGTTCAAATGCGACAGAATGTGTCTTTGGAGAACAGAGTGAGGGAAGACTGGTGGAATCTCAACTCTGCAAGGTGCTATATAATGTTCAGTTTTCCCTGAACTTTGGAGGTGCTCTAGAAAGGTTACCAAAAAAATAATTAGAGGGGGCCTGGAGATATACCTCAGTTGGTAGAGTGCTTGCCTCGCATGCCCAAGACCCTGGGTTCACTCCCCAGCACCCCTCCCCCAAATATATATAATATAAATTTATATGTATAAGTGGTCACAAAGGCATAGTATACTTTTAATTGGCACAGATTAAGGCAATTCTGTTGGTATATAAACTGTTCCGCAGTTCCATCCTTCAAGATTGCTCCTATTCCTACCTTGTCAGGATGCAGGGGGGAAGTGTTGATGGTGAGTCCTAATTTCATGAATCTGTATCCACATTCCAGAACCGTTTGCATCATTTTGGACTTTCCTTTGAATCATTTAAGGAGAGTTCGGAGTGCTTTTTACATGTCTGGGCAGTACCCAGCACTGTGAGAGATTAATAAGAAATAAATAATGATTATCAACACATTTCATTTGCCTGTGTACCGGGAATTTCGCTGCCATCCTCTTAGCAAAAAGCAAACATAAGCAGGGATTCTGTCCAATCCCTCCTTTCTGCTGAAATTTCTCGTTATTTACCCCGGCTTAATAAATGGCCACCAGCTGGCAGACACAACAGCTTCATAATATTTGCACACAATTTATTTGGGTCGGTTTTTATTCCTCTCTCTGCTTGGAGCTAGAGTTGCCCGAAGGAAGGAAAATTCAGTAAAAGAACTCTGGAGGAAGGAACGGAGGATTTCATTTTCCTGTGACTTCTAGGGAGAAATCCAGGACGGGCAGAGAGAAGTTTAGTAGCATTAATTTAAGGCTTAAATAAAAATAAAAATCACCCGGTATGAGGGCCAGGTGGTGCTTTGGAGCGAGGGCCAAATAAGAGGAAATCAGCCTTGGGATAAAGGGGACGGAGATAGAGAGAAAGCAGCGCTACTGAATGAAGGTCATTCCGCTGAGCTTCCAGACCCTAGTTTGCCAGCCACCAAAGGTGGGGGATCCCGTCTTGGCAGGAAAACCCGGTAGTCGCAAGTCAGCCGGCAGCCGGTCCGACGCGCGTGGGCTGGCGCGCGGAGCCGAGGCGGGCGGAAGCCTGTCCCTTTAAGGGGCCGGTCTCCGGGCACCGCCGCCCCGACGCCGGGACGTGCCGGGGCCGCCCCGCCCCGAAGCCGCCCGTTTCCTGCGGGGCGGCGCGACGGCACCTGAGTGACTGCGGCGGCGGCGCCTTGGAGCGGGCGGCCCGGGCTGTGGTGCCCGCGCCGCCGCGTCTTCCCGGTTTCCTTCCCCAGCGCGCAGGGTGAGGGCGAGCAGGCCGCGCTGGGCCCGGCGCCGGCCGCGGGAGCGGCGTGGGGAGGGCGGCGCCGGCTGCGGGGTCCCGGGGCAGGCGGGAGGGCGGGGGGCGCGGCCGCGGGACTCGGACACGGCGGGCCGGCTAGGCCTCGGGTCCTGGTTACCGCCGCGGGGCTTCTGCCTGGGCCGGACCCCCAAGGCGGGCGGGGATTGGGGGGCCGCTCTGCCTCGCCGGGCCGCCCAGGCCCGACCCAGGCTCTGCGGGCGCCTGCCTGTGCGGCCGGTGACTCCCCTGGGGACGTCTCCCGAGGGCGAGGTCGGCCCGAGAGGGCCTTGGGGTGACCGAGGCGCCTATTTATAGCCGGGCCTAAGGGCCCCCGGGAGGGAAGGCGGATTACCGCTCCTCGGCCGGTGGACCGAGGGAGTGCGTCTCCGGCGGCTCCCTGGGCCGGAGCTGGGCCATGCTTGAGCCATGCTTACGCCATGCTGGAATTTCGGCCCTCGCCGCTCCCTCTGGCACTTAGGGCACCCGCTTTCGGGTGCTCGCCCCTTCCCTGGAGCCACTCCCACTGTCCTGTGCTTGTCCCGAGGTAGTGGTGGGAGGCGAACCGGGACGGGAAAGCAGGACGAGGGGAGAGTTTGGAAAAAGAGGACCGCTCCCGAGACGGGCGAAGTTATCCTTTCCTCTCCCCGAGGGGTGTGTCTTCCTCAGTGATTCGCCCCCACTCCCCGCCACTTCGGTTTCCAACAATGAGGTTTTTGGTGTGGAGGACTTCGAAAGAAAACTAAACTGGCAGTGTAGAGCAGTCGTTTGTCAGTCCAGCACCTGGTGGGGGGGTGTGCAACCCCACCGGCCGGCGAAGGAGCCTGAGTGCAACAGAGAAGGTGGGCCCCCAAGGCGTCCTGACCTTGTCTAGCTGCAACCTTGATTAGGTTAGTAGGGAGCTGTTTAAAGTTAGCTGATCCGTCTGGGAGGAAACCAAATTCTTAACTCTGCTGGGCTTGTACCAGAAACGGATTCCGAAGCAGCTATTTGAATAAGAACTGCTTAAAAAGCTACAGTTAAAGTTAACTGTCAAAAGTTGGGTTGTTTTTTTTTTGAGATGCTTGACAAATTCAGACACTCATAGTAAGCTAAATAAAGATAAACACCTTGGGAGTCAACTAAACACTTGGAATTGTGTAGCTGTTCACTTAAAAGTTTGAATTTTGGATGAATTAGGTTACACTTTTCCACCCTACCTAGCCTAGTGGGCAAGTGACAACAGTGTCTTCAGTTTGGTTAAAAGCAGTTGTTGATGAGACTTCAGATAATTTTCCCAAGAACAGCGCTGGAGTACTCTTTAGTTGATCTGTATTTTTGGATGCTTTGCAGTATAGACTTTCATATTTAATATGAAAAAAAGCAAGTTTTTTTCCCCCCTCTCTTTCTTTCAAGGATCTGACACCCTTCCAACATTGAGTTAAAAATCTCTCTGCTAATTTTGCAGCCCTCAGCACACCTTAAGTGTCTTTGTCAGATGGGTTTCTAGAAAGAATAAGGTGTTCCTAATTTACTGAGGCATACTGAAACTTGAAATATAATAAGATCTATTGAAAAATTTTCTTCAGTGTATTAAACACTTCAAGATTATAAAGGATATCCAGTATTTATTTCTTGGTGATTCAGGGTTAGTTTTATGAAAAGCTATTAGTTTTTAATTTTGTTTCCATCCAGATATTTCTTTGGCCTTGATATCAGAAGTTTCTTCTGCTGAATAGAGTGCTTTCCCTAAAAAAATCTCTCACCCCGAAATACTTGCTAATTTATAGGATTTAATCTGCTTTTGGTAGGGAGAGGTTTTAAGAATTGTATGTTAAATGTCAGTTTTAGGGCTTTTCTAAAGGGCCTAAGAAGTGAAGGCTTTTTTCTGAGGCTTAACTTCTGAAGGACCCATGTCAAGACTGTGACTGCTGGTAAGTTCTTAACTTCAGTCTTACTTGAAATATTTGGAATATTTGTGTGTGTGTGTGTGTGTGTGTGTGTGTGCGCGCGCGCGCGCGCGTGTGCGCGTGTGTGCATGCTTGTTCATGCTGTTGGGCTTTGAACGAAGGCTCTCCCTGGGAAGTGCTCTCTCTGAGCTACACACCTAGCTCTGGATGTATATTTATGTGCTCACCATAAATTTTTATAGCAAAGGAAGTTTTTTTTTTTTTTTTTTAACCTTTATTTTATGTGTGTGCTGAGAATTGAACCCACTGCATCACACATGCTAGGCAAGTGCTCTAGCCACAACCCCAGACTGCAAAGGAAGTTTTAATCCAAAAGATTTCCAATACTTTGTAAAAATCTTAAGTTGTTAATAAACTTAATGGCTCCAAGAAGGTTTTTATCTTTCTTAGGATTCTGACTTACAGAGAACTGTGCTTTATGAGAACATTTAAATATTTGAGGATGACATCTTATCAGCTGCTTGTTCTGTCTACTGTTTATAAATTTAGTTACTTTGAAAGTAAATACAAAGTATACTTAAAGGCTAGAAGCAAATAATTTTCTCTACAACTGACATTGATCATTATGAACAAATAGTTGCATTTCATTGCTTCCCCTTTCAGTTCTCTGAACATGATTTAGGATGTTCTGATCTGAAAAATGTAATTTATATATAAATCACTGGCAAAATGTTTATTCATATAAAATTATAACCCCCCCCCATGTGAATGAAAATTGAACACTAAGGGGAAAATCCTTAGATGCCATGAAATTTAGAGTTAAGTTTGATTAACTTAACTCTGTATTTGAGATCTAGAAAACAGACAATTTATAACTATGTCAGGTGGTTGAATTGATGCTTAAATGTATTTTTGGTCTTTTTTTTTTTAAATTAATTTTTTAGTTGTAACAGTACTTTTCATTTGTTTATATGTGGTGCTGAGAATTGAACCCAGGGCCTCGCATGTGCTAGGCCAGTGCTCTACCCCTGAACCACAAGCATAGCCCCTATTTTTGTCTTTGAGGGAGGTGTTTAGACTGTTCTTTTTACTTCTATAAAATGGTGTAGGCTTTTATTTGTTTTATTTGTAAATAGGTAAGATAATTTTAATACTAAGAATAGTTTTAATAGAGACTAATGGGAAATTTAATATTCCTAGGAACTATATAAGAAATGCTCAACTCCCTTTTAAAAAGTTATGTTTTGGAATTTACATAGCCTCTTAACTACTACAGGCTAATTAAGAACTTTTTAACAGTAACTTAAATCTGGTTTCAGCAAAGTGATTTGTATCCTAAATGTAACAAAAAAATTGTTTATAGTCTTCCTCTTCTGGGAAAATCTTCTTTTTGGGTTTTCTCCTTACTAATTGCTCATTTTATCTTTATAGATAAATTTTTTAAAAAAATTTTTTAGTTGTAGTTGGACACAATATCTTTATTTTTTTTTATTTTTATGTGGTACTGAGGATCGAACCCAGGGCCCTGCATGCACTAGGCAAGCACTCTACCGCTGAGACACAACCCCAGCCCCAGTCTTTATAGATAAATTTCTACTTTTAAAGTTGACATGTTCTTGGGGCCAGGGTTGTAGACTCAGTGGTAAAGCACTTGCCTAGCATGTGTGAGGTACTGGGTTTGATCCCTGGCACCACATAAAAATAAACAAATAAAAGTATTGTGTTCATCTACAACTAAAAAAATATTTTAAAAAAGTTGACATGTTCTGTCTTTTGTTTATTTTTCTTTTTATATTCCTCCAATGATCTCATATAGTGTCATGGCTTTCCATACTTACATGCTGATGGCTCCTCCTGTATTTGTTATCTCCAGCCTAACTTCCTTCCTGAGCTATAGACAACCTGTTAGGCCTATCTACTTGTATGTACACTCAGCATAAACTTCCATAAACTTTTGGTGCAGTAACTTATCCCATGGCAGCTCCATTCAGTGTTCAGCCAAAAAAAAAAAAAAAAAAAATTGGGGTTATCTCTGACTTATCTTTTTCAGATTTGGTATTGTGCTCTTTCTTATCTTGACAATATATTTAGAATCCAGTCAGTTTTTACCACCCTGCTCACCAATCATAAGAATGGTTCAGGCCATTATTATATCTTGCCTAGATTTCTGCAGTTAGCCTCCTAACTGGTTGCTCTACTTCTATACAAGTTTTCTATAGTTTTTTCAACATAGCAACTAGACCATATCACTTCATAGAACTCTGCAATGACTTCTCATATGTAGAATAAAAGCCCATAAGACTTTATAGAACCTGGGTACTTCCATTTCCCTCATCTCCCTTGCTTCTCAAGTTAGCTGCCATTCTTCCCCCTGCTTGTTTCCCTCCAGCCCTCCTATCTGTCCTAGGGTCTTTAGAAATTGTCCCTCCCTGGAACATTTTTCCCATAAGGTATTTGCACAGCTTATTCCCTTATCTACTTTGAGTCTTTACTCTTTGTCAATTTTTCAAAAAGGCTGCCATTTTCTTTAAAATGGCACCCCCTTCTGATTCCTGTACCCTGATCAATTTTCTCCATAGCACTTGTCATCTATCATACTATGCAGTTTTCTTATTGTTTATTGTCTTTTTTCCCTGCCTCCAAAAACATAATATTATCTCTATGAAGGCAGAGCTTTTTTGTTTTTTGTTTTGAACTAATTGAAATTAAGAGTTTGGCACATAGTAGTTGGTCAATAAGAACTTGGCAGATTAATGCATTAAGTCTTTATCCTGCAGTTCCTTCCTTTGATGGATACCACATTCTTGGATGCATATAGTTTTCTGTTTGCTCCTTTTCTCTTCTAGGAACCATTGGAGAGCAGAAGAAAATAACAGGGAGCTTTTGGAACTCCTTAGAGAAGGGAGTGATGTTAATGAGCTGGAGAATCCCTTACCTGCCCCACATGATAAAGACTGTTGGTTAGATAACTTAAAAAGTTGGCCAAAGCAAGGACTCAAAATATGTGCACCTTAAATGTTTGTACATAAAACATTTTGTCTGTCTTTTTATTGGGATCATTCTTTTGCTGAGAAA